ACTAGAAGGAAACTCCCAAGTTCTTTTTAGCATAAGGAAGGTGAACTATATATGTGAGTAATTTTTAAATAATCTTTTAAATCAAAGCCGGCCCCTTGCTTTGGCTAGGACTCATATTTGAGGCAATGGTCATCAACGAAGAGTGAAACCACCAGGTGAAAGGCTGATGGGGATCTCTACCATGAAGGGACCTAACTTCCATCATCTCGACCCACCAATCAATTTGAGCATAACGAAAAGTAGGACATCTAGGTATTATTTGCCTTCTAATGTATACATTGTACCACTGTACTCCACCTCTCCAAAACTGAGCCTGAACATAATGAAGCCTTTAGATCTACCTGCCAGCTGACAGGAAACAGGACAAAATAACAAGTTAAATAACCACAGGAAGCAATTGGCCAAATCCAGAATTTGTTTTACTTTTCATCACAATTGACTGGTTTCTTCAGAAAGCCAATAGAATATTAAAAGATGGGAGAGAGAAGCAGGAGGAACTATTCCAGAAAGAAAGAAACTGCAGAAATCTAACCAGATACAGTAAGTAAACTTTGCTGAATCTTGATTTGAGCACAACAACTATAAAAAATAGTCAATCAATAAAATCTGAGTATGGACTGAGTGGGTATTAGACAATATTAAAGAAGTATTATTAATTATATTAGTTGGTAATTACACTTTGTTATGTAAAAAAAAGCTATTCTTTTTTTGAAATGCATAACTAAAGTACTTTGGGTATGTAGTGAAATTATTTACTTTATAATACTCCAACAAAACAGAAAGGTTGGTGAGGGGAGAGGACAGACGGACACATGGACACATGAATCAATGAAACTTGAAGCTGGGCAGCAGGTACACAGCAGTTCATTGTACTCTCTCTGTTTCAGTACATTTGGAAAAGTACCTAAGGGTAGAGATCCAGGATCCAAAAACTACAAGATTTGAAGAATATGTTGGACATCAAGGATGAAAATGAACTAAGGTGGTTTCTTACCTTAAGAGAAAATCAGAGAAGAGAAACTAATTCTCTTACATAAGGGAGCTGGAAGAGAAAGCTTGCTAGACTGAGTGTATACTAAAGTCCACAGAATGAGACAGGAAAGGAAGGCTGTACTCTAATTTGGGTCCTCTCAGAGGTCTGCACCCCACCCATGAAAAGCATGGGGAAAAGTATGGGGACTGTTTCAGCTTAGAAGGGAGGAGCAGCCACAGGTTTGCAAAGGACATGAAGAGAGCCTAATTCGGGAGACAGCTGTCTACAAGAAGGAGTACTGCTGTATAAACAGAACTGAGATATCTAAACTTTATCCTAGAAAGTAGAAAGATTAACTGAATTAAAAATGAAAGATAAAGGGGCCGACCCCGTGGCATACTCAGGAGAGTGCGGCGCTGGGAGTGCACCAGCGCTCCCGCTGCGGGTTTGGATCCTATATAGGGATGGCCGGTGCACTCACTGGCTGAGCGCGGTGCGGCCGGTCACAAAAAGGACAAAAAAAAAAAAGAAAGATAAAGTTACATTATGAACTCACTTAAAGGTAAATAACATTATTTTAAAAAATGACAACTAGCCCAAAAGCACACCAGTTGCTTCCAAAATCGTAGAGATACGAACGTGTATAATTATTCTTCCCCAGTAGAAGAAATGCAAAACTCTCTGCCCGGAAGAAGAAAGAAGCTGAATGGCACTGTTACCATGGTGATGGTTAATGTGCGTGAACGTGCACATGCGTGCACATACAACACAGACACATACAGTCACACTCACATATACACTCTTAAACACATACAAGCACATTATTTTAGGCCATGCTAAAAGTGCATTTGTGTATTTTGGCATCCATGTTTAAATTAAATGCTTGTATGTGTATATTAGAGATAAATATGGTTACTTTCTCTTTTTTAGTTTCATTGCACATATTAAATTAATTTACATTTAATACTCTAAAATAACTCAAAGCTTCCTTTTTTTTTTTTGTCTTTTTTTCGTGACTGGTAATGGGATCGCAACCCTCGGTGTCACGCCTGCACCGCGCTCAACCAGTGAGCGGACCAGTCTCTATATGGGATCTGAACCCTCGATGGGAGTGTTTTTTCGTGACCGGTAACGGGATCGCAACCCTCGGTGTCACACCCGTACCGTGACCAGCAATGGGATCGCAACCCTCGGTGTCACGCCTGCACCGCGCTCAACCAGTGAGCGGACCAGTCTCTATATGGGATCTGAACCCTCGATGGGAGTGCCGCCCCGCTCCCAAGCGCCGCACTCTACCGAGTGCGCCACCGGGCCGGCCCTCAAAGCTTCCTTTATTTCTGCTGATATGATACAAAATTATACCCATCAATGGCACAGAATAGACTGACCAAAGGGAGAATAATGCAGAAAGAGCTTACTTATGTGACAGTCATAAAAAAGTACATTCTATGTGCCACTCACTGTACCAGCTGTTAGAGATACCAAGATGAATATAAGAGGATGGAGGAAAAGACACTTCTGCTCTTGTTCTCTCAGAATTCACCATAAAACTGTAAGGAAAACCAAAAAACTGAAACACTAACTCCATCTCTGAAGGACCCAAGAGCTAAATGTGACTGACTACACAGTCTCCCTCACAGGCCAATGTTCCCCACAGAACCCTGGGAGACTCAGAAATTGGGGCCGCAGGTATGGCAGAGGCAAGCCTACTTTGCAGGTACTTGTGCCTTCAAGTTTCTATCTCTCTTCTGCTATCATGGGAAAGATGAGAAAGTTATTCTCTAGAGAAATCAAGTGAAAGAGGCCCTGGACTGAGAATGCTAAAAATTGCAGAGGATGGAGATAAGGATGAGAGGGAAAAAAAAACAAAACAAGAAAAGTAAATTAAATTATGCTTACTGAATCTTGTGACATTGTCCCTTAAGTGCCCTAGGCATTTGCTGCCAGGCCTACTACCCCTCACCTTCACCCCACCTCAGACAGCCATCTGGACGATCCTTCTCTGAAAAAGCTGCACAACCCCAAAGAGGAACATTTATAGGCATGAAATAGAGGGCTCCTCAACAAAAGAGCAGCTCATCCTCCAGTCATCTTTTAGGGAGGCAGACACGTTCCCAATCAGCTTACAGCACCTGAAGTTTACATAGGAATAGATGGCCAATGGTCACCAGACATTCGAGAAAACAAAAACAGTGCAAGGAGTAGAAGGAAAAACCTCAAAACAAAACTCTATAACTAATAGTCCCAGAAAAATAAGATAAATATCTTATTTATAAAATAAAAACAGTATGCTCGCCGAAAAGGGACAATCAGAGAAGGTTCTTGGAAATTAAAAAAGAAAGTCAAAATTTTCAAAATTAATACAGGGGCTAAAAGACTAGGAAATCTCTCAGGAAGTATACCCAAAATACAAAAAGACATGTAACAGAATAATTCATTTAAAAACTTAGTGCTTACATTATTACGCATCAAACTAGTATTTAACACTAATTTATTAAACTGATTGTTAAGGTAAATATTGATTTAACTAGTTGTAGTTTTAATCCCATTTTGGGAAGATAAGAGAACTAAATCCTTGTCTACCATAACAGGAAGTCAATTGATAGCCTCTAAAATAAAAAATCAAGGGAGCAGTACGAGGGTATTATTTAGAATTATGGAAGCAACGCAGCTCTGAAGAGTTGAAAGTGGTGGTCTCTGAGGCACAGGACCAAAGGATTAGAAAGAAGTAAGACAGGACTGTTTAGCACTGCATGATTTCTAAAGTATGTGCCTATATCTCGCTCTGAATAAAAACAGATATTAAAGTAAAAAAGATCAATATGACAATATCCCTGTCCTCAAGGAGTTTATACTCTATTGGAAGAAACATGCAACACAATAACTACAGGAGCATGTGGTAAATGACCCAGCAGAAGCATACAGGATCCCATCTCAGTCGAAAGAGTAAGGTTTCTAAGAAAAGGGGATACTTGAACTGTGGTTTTAAAAGATGAAGAAGACAACTGGTAAGAGAAGGGATGATGGGTGTTTCTTCTAGCAACAGTCTACGCAGGTAAGTTTCTTTTTAAAACACAAATGATAACATTCTTTAAACACACTTTTGCACCTAGCTTTTTTTACTTAATATATCTTGAAGACTGTTTCTCATCTCAGACACTTCTTATAAAACATACTTTCTATTAAAACAAAACAAAATGCTTATTAAAAATCCAAAAGTATAAAAAGTTTCAAAATAAGGAGTAAAAAAATTCCTCCTGGGGCCGGCCTGTGGCTCACTCGGGAGAGTGCAGTGCTGATAACACCAAGGCCACAGGTTCGGATCCCATATAGGGATGGCCGGTTAGCTCGCTGGCTGAGCGTGGTGCTGACAACACCAAGTCAAGGGTTAGATCCCCTTTCCGGTCATCTTTAAAAAAAAAAAAAAATTCCTCCTGGGGCCGGCCTGTGGCTCACTCGGGAGAGTGCAGTGCTGATAACACCAAGGCCACAGGTTCGGATCCCATATAGGGATGGCCGGTTAGCTCGCTGGCTGAGCGTGGTGCTGACAACACCAAGTCAAGGGTTAGATCCCCTTACCGGTCATCTTTAAAAAAAAAAAAAAAAAAAAATTCCTCCTTAGTCCCCCATTCCTAATTCTGAAGGAATAAGCACTTTAAATTTCTTCCCAGACCTTTTTCTATAAAAATTAAAATACGTATATATGTAAATATTGTTTTATTTTTATTTTTTAATTGAAATGTTTTGATCGTACATATTTATAGGGCACAGAGTTAAATTTCAATACACGTATATGTGTAGTGATCAAATTAGGGTAGTTCACAAATTCATCACTGCAAAAATTTATCATTTCTTTGTAAATACTATTTAATACAAGTGAATGTAATAACAATGTTCTATATGCTTACTATATTTTATACACATACTTGTTTATACGTATAAAATACACTCATATTCTCTAAAGTCTCTTAAAGTCAAGGATTCTGTGCTAAGAAATGTTAAGAAACTTCCCTGTATATCAACTTACCAACACAATCACAGCACTCGTCCCAAAGGGCCCCGAGACACAGCATACACTCCTTACAGCAGGAACAATTCCCTTCGCCGGGTCGGCACTGGCAGAGCTCCTAAAAACAAGACAGATGTTTAAACTTAAAATTCCAAATAACTAAAATTGTTAAAATAACTACATTGTCTAAAATTGTTACTTTTTTAAGCAAAAAAAACACCCACAATATTTTCATTTATAGTAATTTACTCTTGCCACAATTTTTAATTCAACATCATTAACTATTTGTAGGAACATAACTATTTCTACAATGTCAAGTAGATTTTTTCTTTTGGACTCATTCGATAAACATGTACTACATGCTTTTACCTTGTTTTGAAGCAAAGAAAACATTGTAGTTTATAACCCATAACTTTTTTTTTTTTTTTTTTTTTTTTCTTTTTTGAGACTGGCCGCCCCATGCTCAGCCAGGGAGCACTGGGGGCGCCCCGGTCAC